CGTCGCCGAGCTCGAAGCCCTCGAAGGGCAGCTTGTGCTCCTGCGCGTCCATGGCCACGAAGGCGACGGCGCTCTTGTCCTCGGCGGAGGCGCCCTTGCGGCCCTTGCCCCCCTGGCTGTGGTGGCCCGCGACGGCGTGGAGCGCCTTCTCGACGTGGCCCTCGAGCGACCCGCCCTGCATGATCAAGAGGCACCGCGGCTTGCCCCAGCACTTCTCGCGGAGGAGCTCCGTGTTCTTCGCCATGTAGGGCCGGCGCATGCTCAGCAGGCGGAGCTCGCGCACGAGGTCGTACTCGCTCTTGAAGTACTGGGGCTCGATCTGCGTCACCTGGACGCCGTTGCTGATGAAGAGCACGGGCGTCGCCTTGTCCTCCTTGCGGAGCTTCCAGCGCTGCATCATGTTGTAGGCCTTGCCGGGGAGCTTGGTCTTGCAGTCGACGGCGCCGAAGCTCATCTCGCCGCCGAGGCGGTGCGCGACGGCCTCGATGGCCTCGGGCAGCGGCTGCGAGTCGTCGGACGACGAGCACGCGACGGCCCAGACCTCGCCGCTGAAGAAGACCTTGCGGAGCATGGCCTCGTCGCTGACGTCGAGGTACGTCAGCGGGCCCGACCCGCCGGACGTCGCGAAGACGAGGGCCGCGAAGACCGCGACGCACGCCGCGCCGACCTTGGCGCCCGTCGACATGCCGCCGCCCTTCTTGCTCGAGCTACCGCCCGAGCTCGACGCGCCCCAGTCGTCGAGCGCCGCGGCCGCGGCGTCCTTGGGCGCCTTCGCCTTCTTCTCCTTCTTCGTCGGCATGGCTGCGGTGGCTGAGGCGACGCTCGCGGCGAGCACCCTGAATCTGCGAGTCCTGCTCCAACGCGTCGACTTCAAGTGCACGGATGTTGTCCTGCGTGACGTCCGCGGCCGCGTCGGGACCGAGGCACCCGGTAGAGTGAACTCGGGCTTTGGGGTCTGGGGTGGTAAAATTTAAACCAAACCGACTGGGGCGTACTCGGGGGGACCTCGGGTGACTTCCCCTGGGTCCCGGGCTAGTTCCTGGCACCTACTTTCTGGGCCAGTCGGTCGGTCGGTCGGTCGGTCGTCGTCGTCGTCGCCGCCGCCGCCGCCGCCGCCGCCGCCGCCGCCGTCGTCGTCGTCGTCGTCGTCGTCGCGCGCGCGGGAGTTTCGAACCTAATTCAGTCGCAGGGCGAGCGTAGAGCGGTGATGAGTTGCCCCATGCCAGCTGTCACGGCATATGAACCCGGGGATGCAAAAATCGAGTGGGGGCGCGCCCCGAAGTCGCAGTGATCGACAGTCTCGCCGCGGAAGGCCGCCAGCAGGATTTTTTGCGCTCACGAACCCCGTCGTCGCTGCCCGGCGCAGCACGCGCGCTTTTCGTGCACCACCTGGCGCAAAACGGCGCGGCGCCGGCGCATCACATCATCGCAGCGTTATCGACGGTCGAAACGATGCAGTTTTGGACGCTTTCGATGAGGTTTTCGATTACTACTTCAATAAACTAACCCAAACGCGTTTGCTTACGACGAGCCGCGGTCCTCACACTTAATTCACCGGCCGCGGTGAGCTTACGGCGCCCGCCGTCGGAAGCGGTTGGTGGTCCAAGTAAGCAAAATCTTACCGATGGCGACGCGCGGTGGAAAATTCCAGAGTGCTGGCGGGGACGAATGGAGAAATTTCTTAGAAAAATGTTCGCACTTAATTCGAGGGCCTGTTCCACGCGTCCAAACGCGTCGGTTTCTGAGGGCTAGGATCAACGCGGGTGAAGTTGTCCTCCCCGGAACCCCTCAGCTCAAGTCAGCTCAAACTTTCGTCCAAGAAAGTCGAAGGACTGCAACGTCGCGGCGCTGCGGCCGGTGTTGCCCATTTTTACAGACGCGTCGGCATTCCTCCGACATGGGGCAGCCCTAGCATACGCCCGGTCGCCGTCGTTTAGGATGGTCGTGGGCCACCGACCCGTCGTCGCCGTCGTCGTCGCCGCCCTCGTCGGCGCGTGCGCCCTGGCGGTCCTGGGCCGCGGGGCGCGCCGGCAAGCCCAGGCGTCGCTCCGCGCGTCGGCCATCGGCACGAACGTGCCCATGTCGGCGAAGAAGGTGGCGATGGTGGAGCTCATCGCCCAGTTCGAGCTCGCCCAGGACTGCTTCGAGTCCATGGCCTACGCCTACTGCGCCTACAGCGTCTGCACCGTGGCCGAGGAGAACCCGACGCACCCGACGGCGGAGCCGACGGCCGCGTACTGCTCCTGCGTCATCGAGAACGGCGCGCCGGACATCGACCTGAGCGTGGACACGGGCCTGGCCCAGTTCCTGTTGGACCGGTCCAACACGTTCGTGGCCGTCGTGGAGGGCGTCGCGTCCGGGAGCCTGTCCGTCGTCGCGGGCGCGAACCAGGGCAGGACAAGGGTGATTCAACGTCGCTTCAACGTGAGTGTTCCGCGCGCGCGCGTTTCGGGAACAGCACCCACGCTTCGAG